AATAACAAATTATGTTTAAAAGCTTCATCACTTCACCAGAAATTCATTATATTTAACAAAAAGGTGTTTTATACCATAAAAGTTCCCACACCAGCACTACCTTAAGAATGGTCTGAGGGCTCATGTCAGTCTGCAAACTGTCCACAATGAGATAAGAATGGAAATCGAGAGTAAATGGTCAGATGCATTTTGGACAATTAACATTGTCATGAAGTCCAAGCACATGACCAAGCATGTGGGTCCGCTCAAGTGTCATGAAACACTTGGGTTGAGTTGCAGGTGGCATGAGCCACTAACTAATGATCACATTACAACAAGTGATGCTTTAAGGTTTGTTTGGCAATCTTTAGCCAAAAATGCCTAAAAATCTGAGCAACTGCAAGTGTATATTTATTTTTCTAATTTGTTTCATTTACCATGAATTTAATTGTTATCAAGCCTTTCAAAATTTAAAGGTTAACATTATTATCTAACTTGGAGGCATAAAAATTTGCATTGTGTAGCCTTCAGCCTGAATTATAGACTGGAAAACAAACCCCACTGGAAATTTTTGGTCAAGAAATTAGATATATCAGCTTCAATCTGGAGTGTTAGTAAAAGAGAGCTGAGAAGCTTATACATTATCCCTTGTAAATGGGACAGTTATCAACCTGAGCTAGCTGAAAAAAAAATTAAAAGAAACATACTCATTTATTATATTATAAACCTTAATATTGATAAAACAGTATTCATTCAAAAGCAGGTCTAAGTATTTAGTACAGAAAATCACCACTTACCTATCTTTTTCCTATTTGGTTAGTTATAGCTGCAGAACTATGAAAGTTGAATTTAACAATGAGTCTCCATACTAAATGCCCTAGGCACATTTTCAATGATTAATGGGTACTGTCTTCATAATGCTTTCAGTTTTCCCTATGTTTGTTCCTATATTTTTAAATGCAATTTAGTGTCTGTTAAATCCAATTAAAATTTGATATTATATTTTAGTTTCCTTTGCTTTGCATTTTATTTTTTCTCATAAATTGGTGTTATGGTATTTTATAAAAGTATTGACTCATGATGAATTGATAAAAATGCAAAATATGACCAACCAGTTATCACTGAGAGTTCAGAAGTGGCACTCTATATGTCTGTAAAATCCCAGAGGCTTGGCTGGCTGTTGATATCTGGCTGAGCCCTCCCTCTTCATCCCTGGGACAATTATGGTGGGTCGGGATTCCATCCTTGACAGCACAGCCACTGACAGGGACCAGGGGCTAGACCACAGCTGATGGGCTACAGGGCCTACTTACCTGGTTCCTAAGCCCT